AAAACAATGACCAAGAAGGCAGAAAAAAAGACAGTAGAAATGATTTTCAGATCTTTGCGTTTACGATGTTTGATTCTTTCTCTCTAATTGGATAGATATTAATAATATTATATTTAGTTTGATTTGATACTTTTAGATTTAATTGTATTTGATATGAATAAGAAAAAATAAAGAATTAAAATAACGAAAGAAACAGATCATGTGTGAAACAATATTGTTTGAGATGAAGAAAGAATGACAAAAGTTATTTGATCAATTACTTGAACATATAAGACATTGAGATTAAGTTCGTCGTTTACGTTTTGTTTGTAGTAATGCAACAGTAGAATTTGTCATAATAGTAAGTGGAAGACGACTTTGAGAAGATTCAACATTATCTTGTGGAGCATCGTTCATCAATGTGTCATCCTGTTCTTCTTCATTTAAATTTTGTTTACGTTTTTGTTTCTTTCTTGTTTGAGGTTGAGAACTACAATCAGATGGCAACACGTTCTCGTTGTTATGGTTGAATCTATATAAGAAAAAAAATTGCCAAGAAATAAATGAATTAGAAAGATATAACTTACTGATTTGTATTAGAAGCCATATCTACACTTGAATGAGAACCATGAGTTGAAGTCGTTGGTTCTGTTGTTTGATTAATAATAGAAGAATTACGTTCACCAGTTGAATGATCCAATAAATTTGTAACAATTTGCAATTGATTTCGAGATTCACTAATAAGTGTTGTCGTATTGTTCGAGATAGAAGAGAACGAAATAGATGTCGGTTGAAGACGTTCTCGATGAATATCAATATTCTTCTCCTTTATCAGTACTCGAATAGAATTAGACAGAAATTGTTTATCACAATGTAAAACACAATATAAAAATCGAATGGTTCTACTCTTTTTATCAAAGAATAATTCAAAAATAAAATACATTCCGATAAGAAGACCAAGAGCATCATCGGGTGAACTTGTTGAAAGTATTGGATGGAAGTCAACATAAATATGAATGACGTCATCAATCGAAACCAATGTTGGATATGGTGTTTGTGGTTCCTATAAAATCTGATGTTTTTAATTTTTACAAATAAAAAGTATGCTATGGTATATCACTTTCTTGTGTCAACATGTTTCAAAGACGTCTAATATATGAAGTCAACAGTTGAGAAAAATTACAATTATAAATAAATCATTGCGATACGAGTCTTCAACATGAATACGTGTCAATCAATAGAGACTACACAACAGATACAAGAGACAGACCACTTATAAAGAAGATATAACATCGAATAAGATAAAGATCTTTCGTAAAAGCTGTAGCTTTAAATCTCATATATATATCTTTAATCATTTAAGTCAATCATTTATTGATTGAGATCAATTCAAACTAATTTCACATCTGTTTTTAAGCAAAATTTTGAATATGTAAAAGATGAAACTTACCTTTTCGCAGAATATATGTTGAACAGTCTCACCGAACTTTCGACAGAAGATTTTAATTAATCGAATCGGAGGTGAATCTAAATTCAGAAATTGTTTATTCATGAATGTTTATTATTAATTTTATTTACCGGCAATGAATGCAGGAGTTTCGACTAATTTATCTAGTAAAATATGAACTTGTCGTCGAACTTCTTTACTTAAGTCAATATTCACCAACATTTTTACTTCTTCGAAGACCTATAATAGAAAACAATTATTTAATGCAAAGAAGTAACCTTGAGGAACTAGTTTGCCAAGAAAGCATCACTATAAGCAGGAAAATTCTTCATAATATCACTTGTTGATTGATCTTGCACGACTTGTCGACGAAAGACAAATGTTTCTTTCCATAAACGTAATTGAGTATTAACATCCAGTTGAGAAAAATTTTGTAATTGTTTCACTTTTGATTGAATATCATCAGATATTTCATTGTTATAAGGCATTATTACCATCTAGAAAAGAATGAAGTGGCAAGTAATATTTACTTATTGATTACTTGCTTATGTCTATCACGTTCAGCAATTTCACCAATTTTTTGTTTCACTGGACATCCAGATCCCAATTTTGAATATTTTAATCGGAATTCTTGAACAAGACTGTTATTTGGATGATCAGCACGTGTTAGTTTTAATTTAGTTTGTAATGCATCTTTCCATATTGCCTTAAATTTAAAAAAATAAATTATTTTGTGATCAATAGGTCTACTTACTAGATTTTCTGGTGTTGAAGGTAATTTCAAACATCGTATAAGAGCAGAACCAACGACATTATATTGTGTTTTTGGATGGATAACTAATGAAAAAATCAATAATAAGATTGAATGTGAAATTCTACAGTAATTGAAAAAGCCTTTTCAAAGAAAAACCAATCGTTTTATGTTGATCGTTCAATTTAGGACTAGACAAAGTATTAATTAAAAATGAAGGAAAAATTGATCAAGTTTCAAAACTGCCGATAATCGACAATTTCTTGATAGAGAGAAATCTTATTCTATCGTCTGAGATATTTTGACAAAAAATTGTTTAAGTTCACGGTTTCTTTTCTCATATTTGTTGAAATATAAATTATAAACAACGTAATCAATTACAAAAGTTAATATTGTGAATTTTTAATATAAAACTGTTGAAAAAGAGTAGAAAAGAATCGATTCATAAGATATGTCAAAACATGACAAGTATATGTATCTCTATAAAATAACTTACAGCAAATTATAATTTTCAATGAGATCATGAACTACTGCATCGATTAGTATTTGTCGACCTTGACAATGTGAACCAAAAGTTTTCAGATTTCCAGCTTCAATATCTTTCAACAAAGCTTTTGGTAACATTGGTACTTCATATACATCTAGAAAAGATGAAGGTACACCTGCATCAGTAACAGTTTGATCAGTTGGTGAATAATCCATAGACATTGTTGATGAAAGATTAATGCTTGATAAATAAGTCGACGATGGTGATCGTGAATTAACTGAAACAGCAGGTGATGTTTGAGCATTTGGTAAAGTAAAATTTGGTGTTTTAGATATTGTAGATGTATTAGAAAATGAATCATCAGATGAAATTGAACCATCATCAATTCTTCGAAATAATTTCTCACGTTCTTCTAAGAAAATTAACTGCTGTTTGAATTTCGGTATTAATTGTGATATTCGTTCAACATTATTCATCATTTTGAGCATTGATCCATCTACATCATGCTCTGGGAAAGAAAGAAAAATTTATATTTAATTATAAAGTGATACGAATAAAAACTCGGTTTTTTTTGAAAAAACCAGTTGAGAAAGTTAGAAAGCTGGATTAGTATGTTTTGTTATCTAAGAAAAACATGCAATGGGAAAGACTTTTATAACTAACACAAATATATAATATTTCAAAACACAAAGACAAAATCAAATCATAAACTTTCATCAGTTATGAATCTTAATCAATTTCTTCATCAATCTCAACATGTATCAGTAAAGGGGGTGATACAGCTATTGAATAAGATCTGATAGTATTAGACAGATGAACATGATAAATCAAAAAACGATTAATGAAAGTTTAAAAATAAAGCTATTATAAAATCTATATGAGAATAAGCGTTTGAAACATTATATGTTCATTTTATGGTTAATGTAATGTCAGACGTGATATAAATGAAACAAAACTCAAATTGTTCACCAGGTAAATATCCAGTTCTTTGTGATAATATACTAAATCATTTGGAGCAATCAAAGAATATTGACTTAAAGATTGTATTTGCCATGCAGATAATTTTCCATCATAACCAATTGTATGAAGGTTATCAACTAATAACCACCATTTTTCATTCTTTTTTATAATCATAGTAATTTGAGCAAATATTGGCTGTTCATGAGATGGCTTTAAATCTATAACATACACTCCACATCGACGATATTCAACATTATCATAAATTAGTGTATTGCATTGATATAAATCTTTATCAAAATCAATATGATCGAAATGTTTCAATAAAATATCTTTCATTGGTAAATTAAAACAAGTACTTCGAACTTTTTTAATTCCAACTGGATATTGAGTTGATTGTAATCGAGATAAATGACCAAATGTTAAACATTGTTTTAAATGATAACGTGTGACAAGCATCTTCGGAATGTTTTTGAAATTGTTCGTTCGAACTGTTATTTTCTTGACATATGAATGATTAGCTTCATATCTAAAACACCATTGTCTAACTGCTGGACCAAAATCATTGATCGTATATTTGTATTCTCGAATAAAATGTTCCTTTGGTGTTATTTTATCTGGAAAATGACTTGGCATTGTTTCATGAAAAGTATCACATAATTCACCGAGTACACGTAGCCATTTTTTTCGAAATGGATATGACAGTGTAAGGTTAAGTATTTCTCGTAATACTTTATACACTATAAATGAAGGTAAAAGATCAACTATATCATGAAATATTATAGGAAAGAGCTTGAAAAAACATAACTTTTGAGCCGCTGTGGCAACCATATGATCGTTTTGGAGGTGCTTTACGGGTGGTGGAGGTGGTTGATTGCTAGAATCAAATTTCCCATATTGAAAGCTTTCCATGCGTTCTTGTATACGATCTTAAAATGTGAACAAAAAGCGATCAACGAGTTGAGTACGAACAAATTACTCAAAAGAATATTAATAAGTGGTTTACTATGACTTTATACAAAAATTTGCTATTATTAAAAAAACGGAACAATTTAAGTCAGTTCTAGATGAATCTAATGAAATTAATTCTCCTACACTTGACTCATTAAAAATCGAATATAATGCATTTCTTAAGATTGCTTTGATCTCTATCTATTTGATAGTTTCAGCAATATTAGAAACTGAAAATAAACGAAAGAATAAATGTCAATTACAAGAAAGCTTCCTCAGTGTATGTAAAAATTGCATGATTATCTATTTACAGAAGAAAATCTGACAGAATCAGGTTAAAAATAACAAAAGTATTCTCACTATATGTTAAAATTCGTAAGGCAGACGCTTGTTTAAGTAAAGAAATTATGATCACTGGGCATATTCCTTCAATGAAATCATGCATCAGATCTCGAGGTAATGATGTTGTCGCATGAATACCAATCAGCTCTCGTAAAGGACTTGGTCCAATAACATCCTTCAACGGTACTCTATTAGGATCATTGGTGATCCTATCAACAAGATCATCGTGATCAATCATTGACCGAATTAGAATTTTTGATAATGGAATTGATAAATTCTTCTCTGGATATGTAATATAACATCTTCTGCAAAAATGACCACTATTAAAACAAGACTGAAAACCACCTATAAAATGGGATGCTAGATTGTCGGCGACAACGGTAGAAAAAGAAAATGTAAGATGAATGCCGTTAATTGAAATACCATGTAATTGTAACTGGTTTAAATTGTCAATTATCGGTGCAAAGAAACGCTGAGCTTTGACGTCATTCTCAAAAAAGAAACATAAGATATCATACAAACTCATATTGATGTTTGTTTCTTTCTTAAACGAAATATATCAAGTTAAAATTCTAGTTACTGTTTACCAGAAAATAATAAAACTAACATTTTCTTATTTTGTATCAATACTATCAAAACAGTTTTTTCTAACTTATAATTCTGTCAGTACATGTTTGAGGTTATCACGAGAAAATTTACTTTGAGAATTTTGCTCTCACAAACAGCAACTAATTGAATGAAATTAAGTTTGGATCGATGTTTATCGGGAACATCCTCCAAAGAGAAATACAACATAGTCATTTTATGTTTGTCACGTTTTGCAC